CACAATAAGCTAACCTCCCTCCACAGGAACTTCTCACATCCCGCGACAGATCTACTGCAGGCACCTGTATGCACTCCCCACTCCTCACCATGGCGGACTGGGGAGAAAAGCACTGCCAACGGCAGACACAAGGGCATTTCTGCCACATTAGATGAATAAGGAGGCCCACGTGGCTAATGAGCTACAGGGGAACCCACAGGGACACCAAAGACTTTTAAGGCAACGTAAGGATTTAACATTTCGTCTTCAGCTAAATGGGAGACCACTGGAGGACTCAGACCCTGACCTCAACAATGTCTGACAGCTTCTGTTCACATCCACTCCAGCCCTGTCCAGGGCCTCTCCCACACTCAAGACCACTTCCCAAGTATCTCTTCTAGTCCTAAGTCTCCAAAAGGCATAGAACTCACACTTGTGCAAAACGTGCGTGGCCTCCCCATCCACACCCTCAGGTCTCAATACCATCCTGACACCTTCTCTTGCTCACGGGAGAAGCTTCGGCCTGACTATGGACTCCCCCCCATGCCAGCTCTGCTCTACCCACAACCTCCTCACCTCAGCACATGGTTCCACAAGAAACAAAGGTGTTCACAGCTAACACTGGAGTCATCCTAGACCCCTCTCTGCACCCAACCCATCAGCAAACATCAGGAATCCTGCTTTAAGAAGTCAAACGTGAGGGGCGCCTGGGTGGCTCAGTCGGTTAAGTGTCCAACATCAGCTCAGGTCATGATCTCGCAGTCCGTGAGTTCGAGCCCCACGTCGGGCTCTGTGCTGACAGCTCCGAGCCTGGAGCCTGCTTTGGATTCCATGTCTCCCTCCCTCTCTCTCTGCTCCTCCCCTGCTTACGTGGTCTCTCTCTCTCTCAAAAACAAACATCAAAAAAAAATTTTTTTAATAAAATTGGATTTTAAAAAGTAGAATGTCAACCACATATTTCTCCCCATCTTTATTTTTCACCATCCCCTTCCACCTCAACGTAACAGCCCACCCACCTTGTCCCCCTCCATTCAGGCTTCAAACAGGCCAAACGCATCCCCACCCGGGGTGGGGGGGCCTTGGCACACGGATGCTTGTGGGCCGGTTTGTCCCGTCACCACACAGAGGTAACCCAACAAAGGCCTTCCTTCCCTGTGGCCTCTCAAGAGCACCCTAGCCCTCGTCCCTGCCCTGTCTCCACCCACACCCTGTCCCTCTGAAATACCCTGACCAGCTGAGCCACCCGCATCAGTACAAGCACAAGGAAAATGAAAGCGTGGTTTCCGAGGTGTCCTAACCTCCCCAGCACACAACGCGCTCTAGAAACAACTCACGTGAATGCTGCAGCAAAGGCTCATTCAGAGAGAAAATACCTGGAGTCATCAGAATGAAAAGAAGGGTCTAGGGAGGAAGGGAGGAATTTGATGTTCCAGAGAATAAAAAACACGCCCGAAAAAAAGAGGAGGAGGAACAAGAGGAGGAGGAATCTAGAGGTGCAGACTCTGGTTCAGGTCATGATCTCACAGGTCTTGAGTTCAAGCCCCGAGTTGAGCTCTCTGCTGTCAGTGCAGAGATCCTCTGTCCCCCTCCCGTCTCTGCCCCTCCCCCACTTGCACTCACATGCACACACTCTCTCTCTCTCAAAAATAAATAAAACTTGGGGCACCTGGGTGGCTCAGTCGGTTGAGCGGCCGACTTTAGCTCAGGGAGCCCCGCCTCGGGTTCTGTGCTGACAGTTCAGAGCCTGGAGCCTGCTTCGGATTCTGTGTCTCCCTCTCTCTCTGCCCCTCCCCCATTCATTCTCTGTCTCTCTCTGTCTCAAAAACAAATAAACACTAAAAGAAAAAAAAACTTTCTAAATAAATAAAACTTAAAAAGCAACAAGGATCTGGAACTCAAATCTCGGTCTGCGGCCTGGCACCTACGCCGTTTTCGCTGCGGTGCGCCGCCCAACTTCTCTAAGCGGAGTCTTCTGAGACCCAACCCAACCAGCTGCACTGAAACGTGCTAAAAGCTTCCCAGTGTCCCTGAAACACAGGAAGGCTCGCTGGCTGAGGCTGAGACCTTTGTTTGTTTGTTTGTTGACACTTATCACCGGAGGTCCTGTGGGAACGTCACCTACCCCAGTCACGTGACACAGGGTGCTTCACACAGATAATGAAAACGCGGGCACCTTAACCAAACGTTTGGGGCAACAGCTGCCTTCACTAGAACTAGTCAGGCGCTACGCCAGAGGTGACATGACTAGCCAGGTGCAGTGACCCTCACTCGCCGTGACTACCCAAGTGTCGTAGCACTTGGCAGCGCGACCACTCAAAGAGTTGTGACCCCCCCCC